GATTTTTCTATTGTCGGCCACACATTCCACTCTTGTTCTAGCTTCATTTTTAAAACAATTTTAACAGACACATGTCAAAGAATGTCACAAGTACCCATATGGAGAAAACAATATCAAAACAAAGAGAACCTGTAAGATAAAATTATATAATATGTTACACTATTTATATTATATGTTGCTATATATGTCTATGTCTGAGAAATCTTATCCTCATGTTCAGAAAGACAAGCCAAAAAATTTTGTTTTCTTTTGTGTTTTTGTGTTTGTTTGCTTTGAACTAGAGTTGAAATGTATAGCAAGTAAGCACATAAATCATAATATAGGATTTTGTACATATATTATACATATGGCAAATCCTATCCCAAAATAATAAGAAATGAAGAAAATCATATACGTATAGTATGTATATAAAATCCTATGATATGTGTCATTGTATATATATGTTTTTTTTTCTTGCGGTCCGAGTTCACATTTTAGCGTTTCCTGCAATCTGATTGGCTATGCGAGCGGTCCGTATTAGCAGGCCGTACGGACCGCGCGAGATTTAAGAGCACAGAGCCAACGCTAAAATATGAATTCGGAGGGCAAGAAAAAAACCTATTATTTACCAGTTTAGTAGGTCCGTATAGGGAAATATTTCCCTCGGTCTCAAAAACGTCCCTCGGAAACGTCCCTCGACCTTTGGAAATATTTCCCTATACGGACCTCCAATCTGGTAAATAACAAATTATTAAAAGCGTGTCGTTGTCGAATTGATCTCTATACACATTTAATAAACAAATTACTTCCTGGTTGGCTCGTTTGTACGATTTGTATTATGAACTCGTTGTAAAGGATCGCAAACTCTCTCGTTCGCTACGCTCACTCGTTCGTTTCGCGATCCTTCACAACTCGTGCATAAAAACCGTACGCACTCGCCAACCATGAAGTAATCTCTATATATATGATATATATAGATTGCCTCATGACGTCTTGATCTCTGTTCAATTGATTGTTAATTTTTCCCCGTGAAGAATTTCAAGAAGTAACCATTTTGCAGCCTGAACTCTCTTTTAGCCGGAATTTCTGTTTGCTTTTTTGTCCATTTAAATTTTAAAAAATGTTTTCCTGGTTTCCAGGTTACTGCTGTTGGAAGGATAGTGCAGATTGCACAACTTTCGAAGACCGTGAAGGAGATTAGCATTCATGTCCCGAATGTTGAGTTCAAGTTCAAAGCTGGACAGTGGTATGGTTAAGATGATATTATATAGTTTCTGCCCAGTTAACCTGTTTAAGATGTTAGGAAAAAAAATGGCCGTACGTATAAGTACGGGTGAAGAGGTCCCAAGTTAGCTGACGAACGCGTCAAAAGTAATCCTCACCACGGTTTTAAAAACAAATAATAGACCACCTGTATACCCTATTCGTACTTAATTTTGCACAACTTTAATTTTGCGATTTTCGCGATTGAAAAAAGTTCGCGAACTTTGTGCGGAAAATAGTTCAAGACAAGGGTGCTGGAGTTGTTTTTTTTTGCCAAACGCCTAAAATCGCTAAATACGCTGAATTTCGCATCGCCGTATTTACATGCATGCTGTTGTTGTTCATTTCAAGTGCACAAAATCCTTTTTAATCATTTCGTATTCACATTTCTATTTTTCTCAGATATTTGGTAATTCCTTTCATCTTATCTCCTGGAGATATATTGTATCTAAAGCATGTATTACATGTTTTCTAAACTCAAAAATAGCTCAACCAGTGCTAAATTATTGCACGGCTTTCCATACGGCAAGCCCGGCCTGCACTCCTCATGCAGCTATATTTTTTCCTGCTTTTGCCAGAATACGTAGAATAGTAATCTATTTCATAGTGCCCCTCTCCCTGCTCGGTTAGAATAAGGATTGGAGTAAATGTTTGTCAGCCACCTTGGGCATGCTGTTTCAGCATGCCCAAGGAGGGAGGGGAAGTCGTAGGTGGAGTTCGACCCACACAAATGCATGCAATGGTAGGCAGACCGGGTGGGCCGTCCCACACCACACGACGACCGTTTTAAAACTAAGCAAGGAAGGGGCCGTATGGTTGTACTCAGTATTTATAGCTGCCCCATTAGTCTAATAGATTCATTCATTACCATTTATTTACATGAATGTAGGGTATTCCACTTATTCAATCCTCGCATCTCATTAAGAGCACTATGAATAATATATAATCTATATAAGCTACCAAATCGGTTAAACAGGCGGGTGTCTATTTTGTCTATTCCGTATTTGCTGTATTGAAAAATATGCAGTTTATTTGTGGACTATATGATTGATATGTTGTTTTGCAAAGATAAAACCGACTACGAAATGCTATCACACCATTGCTTTACCTTGAGAAGGGCTTTTAAAGTTGAAATTGAAGTATGATAGAAAAAATGTCAATGCAAAGCTTTTAAAGTCGAATGCAATATTTGCAGCATATTCAAAGAATAACATTTAACCTTTAGTCCCTGAAGATTTTGTACTATTTTGACGTTTTCAAGATTGAATTTTTAACCATTACTTAGCTGTAACTGGGGCATGGACTAATAATTTTCCAGCTTTAAAGCAGCAGAAAAATGGGTGATTTTAACTTCATTTTTATGACTGTATTTGACATAATACGTTTCTTTCCGAATAATAGCATATAGGCTAATAGTCACAATAATAGACCGAGTCCAGTAGACTCGCGTACACGCGCGTGGACGCCACGAGAACGAAAATATTTCTAGGCTGCCTATGATAATAGTAAATCAGTTAACGACTCATTTGAGTCATGTCATAATATAAGCTTAGATTTCGCTAGCTTAGGAAATTGGTTTTTGGAATTGGCGAGGGGTTGCTGTATGCATGTATTTCTAGTACCTGAGACAAAATGGCCGACGATGATGCTGAATGTACACAACATGCAGAAATAGTTTTTCACAAGCTTCTATTTAAACTCCTTAGGACTTTCAACCGCATGGTTACAACTTTAACCTCTAAAACCTCCAAACCAAATAAATTCAAAAGAATAATCCATGTCCAATGAGAAAGCGAATTATTAATAACGTTTTAATAATACTCGACTATGATTGCCCAATAATGAACTACTTTTTTAAAGTCGGCTCCAGATTTTCCAGGGATATAAAAACGATTCATTTATAATATCAAACGGTGTGAACTGCAAATGTATAATATCACCGCATACATAATATGTTCATAATTTTCTTTCGATGGCACTATAGCTATATTATTATCATATGTTCTTGTTTTGAAGGGTCGATTTTATGATTCCTGGTGTTGAAACTGTTGGAGGATTCTCCATGACGTCAAGTCCAGCAAAACTAGAGAAACACCGTATAATTGATTTAGCCGTGAAAAGAAGCGATCATCCACCTGCACATTGGGTGCATTCACAGGTAGGTACTGTATATACTGCGTATACTAGAAATATCCTAGTGTTTTTGGATTGGTTACCTGAAGGACTGGGGCCGGTTGTAGCTACGAAAGCTGCATATAGCGCTGTCCACCGAATAGTGATTTTTTACCGGTTTTAAAATGCTTAAGAAGTAGTTAATCTACAGATTTGAAGCCAACGCTTATTAAAGAGAATAATCTTTTTGTAAATGCCAAGGTTAAATCCAGGTTATGCAAAAATGAAAAAATGAAAAAATCATAATTTGGTGGACGGCGCTCTCCAGCTTTCCTACAACCGTCACCAGAATAGTCTATTTTTAAGATATTAATGAGACATTATTTATATTACATATAGTAGCTATAATTTTCTTTTTCGTTGTTGGTTTTATAGTGTCGCGTTGGAGACGAAGTATCGTTGACAGTTGGTGGCGACTTTTTCTACGATCCAATGACGGAAAATTCTAAACAATTGCTGTTCATTGCCGGTGGAGTTGGAATTAATCCACTGTATTCTATCATACAACAAATCTATCAATCCTTAAAAAGCAGCAATCTTGATGAAGATGTTAAGTTTGAACTTCTCTATTCGGCTTCCGACCTGCATGAGCTGATATTCAAGGCGAGACTTTGCTTTTCAGTGTAAATCATATCCAAGTTTACTATCTGTAAATTACTAAAATCCACGAATATTGTACGACCATGTTGATTGTCTTTTTTTGCCACACTTAGGATGAACTCGATGCCATAGCTGAAGCAACAGGAAATTTCAAATGCCAGATGTTTGTTACACAAGATAAATCCGCAACGAACATCGTATGGGGCCGTAAAGGTAAGGAGTCATCGCTCTTATTTGATACTTACATGAAATGATGACCCTTCCAAAGCAAGGGTCCTAAATTTGATTGCTTTGTGTACAATTTTATGCAATTCTCTGACCTTTGCCCATGCATGCAGGCCAAACGTTTGCACCTAGATGCCCTGCATAGCTGATCCGAACATAGCTGAAGGCACTCTCTATATATCACATTAAACAGGGCAGGTATCGAAGAATAAGCATAATGTCTTTGGCTAGAGCATGTTTTGCCATAAGATGATGTCGATGTGAAAAATATGCACGATATGTTACACGCCGTGCCCAATGCCAAGTGATAGCAATCCGCGCAATAACTCTGTTTTGAACAATATAATTATGCCAAATTTCCGTAGATTTTTTATTTTTGCGCCACCATGTCTCATGCAGACTTTTTAGGATCACCGATAAACTAAATACGATGACGCGAGTAAAATATATGAAAGTTAAAAACTACGTAATCTGCCATCATGTATGAACTCTCTCAAAAAGTAAAATACTTCCAATTCAATATAAAACATTCCATTAAAATATTTCAATGTTCCTTGTCCCTTAACAAAGAATTTGTTCTCTGCATGAACTTAAGGAAATGTCTGTCTCATGAAAGGAATCGCTAAATTAATCAACCTCGCACGAGGTTGTAAATTAATTATAGCTCGAGCGACAAGTTACTACAGGTATACATTTTCCCCCAATTGTGATATTTTTATATGTAGTTAAACTTGAACGGATTAGTGCACAAGTATTGGAGGAGACGTTAAGAAACTTTAATACATCCGCTATGACCGTCTTTGTGTGTGGACCGCCGTCTATGATACAGTTCATCACCAGCGCCTTAAAGAACGCAGGTGTTAGCAATTCAAATATTAAACAGGAGCAATGGTGGTGATTTCTCAGGTTATGACAGGGAGGGACTATATACTCCAGTAATATTGCAACTCGATCAGTGGCATAAACCAAACATATTGCCACTTCGTCAGTGATAACTTCATGTGATGGGGGTGAAAAGGTGGTGGAGGAAGGCGGGGGGGGGGGGGTTTGGTTGCATGATATTTTAAAAATTTCCATTATCATGCACGAACCGTAAATACAATCGCATTCAGAACAGTCCAGTGGTTCATACGTCGTATATTATTATGATTATTATTTATGTAAAAGTAATCACAGCTTTTGATTGGCCTAAAGCAAATGTAAGGACGCTAGGTACCTTAATTTATTAGCTGCTGTTGCAACTTGTCAGCTGACAGTGAATTTTCGATAAATAACTCAAAATACATTAAACGGCGGAGGGTTTAAATCGGTTTGTGAAATGATCGCACGAACAAGGAAGAAGAAACGATTGTTGGCCATGGTGCATTAGCAATTACACTTACGTTCCAGCTTAATCATTAGCAAATACTCTGATGTTTGCCCCAAGAACTTTGAAACCGCCCCATTGAGCCATTTCAAATTTTTCTTCTTTCATCTCACACATGGTGGTTGCCAAGGCGTTGACGACAGGCTCGTTGTAAAGATTGTTGTAAAACTTCAACATCAATGTCTCTGCGGCATTGTCATCAACTGCCCACAGTGAGGTAATCACTGACTTTGCTCCTGCCATCAGAAAAGCACGCGCAAGTCCCAACACGCCTTCGCTACTGATTTTGCCCTGGGCAGTGTGGCAGGCACTAAGAACAACCATGTTAGCCGATAAGGTCACGTTCGAGAGATCTTCCACAGTAAGGTAGCTCACTCTTGCCATTTCGCTGCTAAATAGTTCGAAAACATAGAATTAATGGTTTTAACAACTTCTTTGTTTGTGCTTCAAAGGTGCTTTATAGATTTAGTGGTGTCTGTGTCACGATGAATTTAAATCCATCTGTACTGTAAAGAATTTCAACTATTTTTGTATTGGTCGTAAACATCTCAAATTGCAAAAGTAAGCAGAGTAAGCAATATTAGAATAACTTACTTGTTTTTAACACGTTCCGGAGCAAGTTGTAAGCTTTTCCCATCGGTCGCGCCATGGCACGCGAAATGAATTATGGGTGCTTTCGAAATACGGCGCAGAACTTCACTGCGGGTGGCGGACTCTCTCAACAACGGTAACACTCCCGCCTTTTCTGCAATCATCTCGGCTTCTTTTTCAGCAAATGGAAGGTCTTTTGTTGGATTGCCAACGATGAGGATGTCCTTCATCTCAGTCACCTACATAGAGCACAAATCCTTTAAACAAGGCTGAATTACTTGTCACGAGTGATACTAAACACCAGGGGGCGGTTGTTCGAAAGGCGTTTAGCTTAAACGGTGGATAAGTTAAAAATGGAAAACAAAATTATCTATTTATTGAACAACTGAGCTGAAATATTTCGATGTAAATGGTTTAATTGTCAATGGAAGTACATATTAAATGCATAAGATACAGGTTCAGTCATTCACAATATCTATGAGAGTATTCATAAACTTTGGCTTATCCACCGTTTAAGCTACAAACGCCTTTCGAACCACCGGTCCCAAGGCAACTAGAGCTTGATGTGCGAAATCAACAATGACCGATTTGCATACAGAAATAAAGACAATTCTACATCCAGACTATTTCTTTGACTCTCCAAAACAATTATGGCTCAATGGAAACCAGGTTAAAGTGGTTGCAAGTTTATTAGTTATGAAATTATATGACTAAATCGTTTCAATGTTCACGGCAAAAAAAAAATTCCTTTGTAGGTACCTTTGTCGTTGTGTAATTACTACGCTTTTTGACTTTAATATTGTTTGAAATAATTCAAGACAACAAGTTTGAGACAAGAAGCTCCGCGATAGCGAGTATTTGTGTTCTTTGTCAATTTACAACCGATCGAATATCACTTATTACCAATTTAGGCAAAACATTTAATATGATTGACTTCCTAACCTGCGACACCCCTTCTTGGAGTGTCATGCTGTAGGAATAAGAGTGGAAAGAGAACGCTTCCCGAGGTGCCACCAATGTACATAACGGCTCGCCATTACTAAGACGCAGCGTTGAATATGGTATGTTAAACGTTTCTCCTTGTGGAATGATCAGCAGTTGAGGTTTAAGGCCATTCTTGGTAGACAGGTTTTCTAAACGACCTTCAATTGGTTCTACAATTAGCTTGCTGAATTCGTCAATAACTTTGGAGAAGTCGGGTATCTTCGATGGTCCACGGGTGGGTAGGTGGTTTTGGTTTAATGTGTTCTGACTGTCCTGACTCTCAGACGAAACTCCAGATTGATCACAGCTTGTCTCATTTTCCTCTCCAACTTCGATGTCATCATAATCATCATCTTCAGATTCGTATTCGAAATCAGGACCACTTAATACATCGTTTTCTACGCCTATAAACGCAAACTGGGTTAACATGAGTATTATTCCCTGCATGATACATTTTCCTTTCACATTTTGTAGAGAAGGACGCAAGAGATTGTTTTTGATTATTTTACTTGTTTTTGTCGTAGGGGACGCAGAATTACTTGTTTCCAGGTAAAATATTGCAGCTACTTTATGTTATAGGTTTAGAGACGTCAACCTGCGCGCCCAATATGCGCACCATGCATTCTGTTTAATTGAGATTAATCTAAATTTAGATGCAATTAAGATCAATACACGTAAAAATTTCTAAGCCTGAGGAGTCGAAACGTTGGGTCGTGAATGTAATTTTAGTGTGGTGATGGAAAGTGATTGACTTGCTTTGCTCTTCATATGCAGATGGGCGAAATGTGTTTTATGTATTAAAATCCAATATTAATATAAAATTGGAGAAATGTCGATTGAAAACCAAAGAGCATGTTAATATTCACTAATTGCTGTCTTTCCCCTTGCCGAATATTGTGCGCGAAAGCTAGTGGAGGGCAAAACTCGTCAAAAGAGGGTAAAAAATTTCGTCTTTATAAATTCAGTTGTTTATAAAACTTTATTTCAAATGTTTCCCCATTCATTCATACGTACCTCTAATTTCAATCTGGTATGGCCAGTTTGGGTGGAATGTATGAGCATGGCAACTTTCTGAGGGGTGCAACACTTCAGTGTCATCGCTACCTGGGTCCATTGTGCATCCCGGTGCATTGATAGTCTGCTGGAGTGACTTTTCTTTATAATTTATATGTGGATTAAACACAATTCGTAGATCCTCAAGAGGCTTTTCCCAACGATGAAGTTTTTGATCGAAGGAAGAGATTTCACCATTTGGTGAAATAAACCAAATTCTCATTTCTTGGACAACGTCCAGTTTGGATAAAAAGAGTATCGCTTGCTTGTTTGTTTTCGCTAACTCTAAGAGAGCATTCGGCGTTTTTAGCTGCTTGGATTGATCTTCTTTTATTACCTTTTAAGATATACGAATCCAAGATTGGTGAACTATAAAAACAGTTCTAGTGATAACAACTCGAACAGTATACTAATAGTTAATTGTGACAACTACAACATTAGCCTACTAAAAGGTTTTTCCTTTGTTTATTCCAAATTTTGTGACTTGAAAAACGGGAAGAAAAAGTAATATTTATTGCTTTTTAAAACATATTTGGTTATCACAAGTCTTGCATGTCGAAAACAACCGGCGCTCAATCTGTATTTGCCTTGCCTAATACAACACATGTTACCTTATCATAAAAATCTCTTCCTCTGCCCATCTCACCGACTAACAGTGCATCTGCATCGGCTTTTTCTCTTAAAAGCACGTGCTGCAAATACTGAAAAGGTTTCTTCTGTGTATCGTTAAAACAAATCTTTAATGGAGTGTCCTGAACGCTCTTGCGAAACTTTTCACATCGGTCTATAACCTGTTGAAAGAATTTCTGTGCAGTTTGATACTCGTTCTCTTTGACTGCCATCATGCCAAGAAGGTAGTCTGGACTGAATCGAAAGTCTTCGGTATCGCACCAATGAGATGAAGGTGGCTGAGTCGTGTTGAGAGCCTTGTGATAGTACTTCCTAGCCATGCTTTTATCGCCTGCAAAGACCAACAATAGAATACTAATAAAACTTGTGACGTGACGTGTATTTGTGTGTAGTTCTGGTGTCCAGGTTGAAATGGCTTTCGTTTCTACTAATTTTTATTTCAGCCATACGCAATTGATTTCGAATCTAATTTAAGATGAAATTAGGCCTCTAGATCTTGAAACGCTACAATAACCGATATATATATATATATATATATATATATATATATATATATATATATATATATATATATATATATATATATATATATATACATACACCCGTTTGCAAAAACGTTGGCCGCAGATAGATATATAGATAGATACCCAAAATCTAATTAGAATTGCATATCTTGTTTTATATGATTGAAATCCCATGCAAATGTAATCATATGCAATTCTAATTAGACTTCGAGTATCTATCTATCTATCTATCTGCGGCCAACGTTTTTGCAAATGGGTGTGTATATATATATATATATATATATATATATATATATATATATATATATATATATATATATATATATATATATATATACATGTCTCACGTTGGGTGGGAGGTTTGGGGCTTTATGGAAGGCTGAATTATAATAACCTTTACATTAAAAAGTATATATACTTATTTTACACTAAAAGACGAGCATCTATAAGAATTATATGGGATAAAACTATTCTTCAATCTACTTGTCTTACATTTTGGAAGCTGGAGCATGCGTTTGTTGCGTAAACATACGGTACTATTGTTTTTATAGAAAGCAGTTTGTGTGAATTATCATCGATAATTTCCTGAAACTAACTTGTCATTTAGAGTCTGTTGTCCACTGGACAGTGTTCCAAGGTTCACCGTTCGCAGAGCTTGGCTATAAGACAGTTCGGGGCGTATATAATAGAGCACGTAGACTCTCTAGATCGTCAGATAGGTATTGAGGTAAAGAGTTATGGAAAACTTCACCCACGTACTCTATTATGGGGCGAATGCAAGTGATAAAGAATAAAATAAGCCCTTTGGTTGGTAGTTTAGCACGTTTAAGCTGTCCGAGGAAATACAATCGTGATGCCACATTCTGGCAAATCTCCGCGATACATGAGTATTCCACCTTAGATCGTTTGATATCGTTAAGCCCAAACGTTTTGCTAAAGTGACGAGTTCGACGTTCTTTTTGTTGTTTACAATCGGTTCAAACTAGTTATTAGACTTTGAGAAACTAACACGGAACTCTTTACATTTTGCCTCGTTAAGTTGGAAACCGTCCGCCTCAGTCTTTGTAATAAGTTCATCTACATACGTTTGCATGGAGCTAAGCTCTTCTTTCTTTATTGATTGTGCAAGAGTAGTATCGTCCGTATACTTCTAAAGATCTACGTTGCCCACATCATTACTAGGAATAGCCGAATTTTGTTCCCTGCGGTACACCTGCCGGGACAGGCCTCCATTCCGAGTAACAATTAATCATTCCTCAACTTCACCCTTTGTTTTTGAGACACCAAAAAATCCAAGATCGAACACATAATTGTCTTGGGATGTTATGTTGGGATAACTTTTTTGCAAGAGCTCCGCGGTCGATTAAGTCAAACGCTTTCCGGAAGTGGAAGAGAATTACCCTAATAGTGGCGCCATTCCCATCTGTGGATTTCGCCAACTAATGCATCATGATAATTATAGCATGTGAAGTGCATGATCGACGATCCGAGTTGTTGAACATTAAGCTTTTCCATAACTGCTGGTTTAAACGAAGCTTTGCACTTATTTAAAGAGCTAAATATCTACGATTCGTCTCGAATATGAAAAAACCGTAAATCGATTGCACCATGCATGCATAAATAAATATTTTTAATAAAAAATTAGGCTTAATGGTTTCCGTTTTTGGATTGCCTAAACAAACTTGGATACAAACACGCGGGAATGTTGCGAAAGTTAAGAAAAGGGAGGCGAAGGCGAGTTACATTCCCAAGTGTTTAGATCAGGCCATCGAAGAACGGAAAACCATTCAGTAGTTGTTTTGTGAAATGGCAACAACAAGGTAGAGTTCCAAGTTTGATTTTAAAAGACGAATTAAATTTCGGCCTGATCCAAACACGGGCTTCGTCCAATCAGAACATGCGTTATACATGCATGCACATGTTTTTTATAAATTAACTGACTGTTTAAGAAAAGTTTATTTAATGCGCACCTTTCCCCTCGTAAGCTTTTCCAAGATTACAATAATTGTTGTTAATAATCCTGTTATCATTAATTTCTTCACCTAGTTTGAGAGATTTCTCAAAACTTTCGAGTGCATCATCAAAATCTTGTAATTTCAACTGAGCCAGGCCTATGTTGCCATGAGCTAAAGCAATATGCTTTTTTACGCCAGACTCCTCAGCCACCGCCAACGATTTACGGGCCAGCTTTAAGGACTTTTTATCTTCGTTGAGAAGAAGTGCATTGACGCACAGGTTGCAAAGAACTGTATACACAAACTCTTGGTCTTCATATGAACTCGCATACTTCCTTAAATGTTTGCTAATTTGATAGGATTTTCTGTATTCCCCCATTAAAGTGTAGATGGAAGATAGGTTAATTTTAGTTTTCATAATCTTTTTACGATGTCCTAAATCTGTAGCCACTTTTAACCCCTCGGAAAAGAGATTTAAAGCTTTCTGTATGTTAAAAAGGTAACAGTGGTTTCTCGCCATTTGTAATGTGGCTTCGCATTCCACGAGTTTGTCGTTTAGTCGTTTGGCAATTTCTAGACATTTTTCTTCCTCTGCCAGAGCTAGCTCGTACTTTTGTTCCATGTAGTATATTTTCGCCGCGGCCAGTTGGGAGTAACCTATAAGGTTATTGATTAAGGTTAATAATTTGAATCAAAGGTGTGTCACACATGCAAATCTATAAGGATGTGTGACATGTGGGACCAGGTATGCCTAATAAGTTAATTTATACCCCTTTCGTGCAATTTTCATGTAACGCAAATAACATAAGATATTCGGACTTGAATGATATGTGAATGAATAAATTTGTAATGTTTACAACGAAATGTACTTTTTTGTGAAATAATTTTATTTTTTGCTACCTGGCCTTGGAGTATATCAAAAAATTTTTAAAAGATGTTCTGCAAATCCAACTAACGGATGTGTTCTTCCCGTTGTCTTGTTGTCTGTATTTTGACTTGTTTGCATGTTTTTCTGCGTGCAATGTTCAAAAAAGCTTCAAATTTTTAAAAACACTGATTTCCTTACGTACCTATTGTCAACTGGTCTCCTGACACTTCACTGCAATGCAAACATTTCTCTAAAATAAGCTTCGCATCTTCTATCAAGCCATTTGAAAACAGTGCATCGATGTGAACAAATATGCCTCTCCTTCAAGCTTCTTATCATTTAATGTAATTGCCAGTTTTGCCAACTGTTTTGCGGTTATGATTGCGTTATCGTAGCTCGCTTTCGAAAGATTCGTGTTCCATAAGTAGCTGAGTTCTTTCAAAAGTCCTGCTTGGTACTGTGACGTGTATGGTGAACCCGAGATTTTCAAAAGTTGGGCTAGAACTTCGCGACATTCGGCGAAGTTGCTGTAACCGAAGCGATGTTTTTTTAATATTTGCATAAGACATGAAAAGTCTTTTGGACCCTGCATGAGGTCACTGTCTATCGTCACGTCGGAGAGTTCTAAAAAACACCAAAACAAATATCCATGCTCAGTACAAGCGATCAATCTTGCATTAAAACTTACATTCGGGGACGGAGCGAGGGATCGTGGTGATCGAATCATTCGATCTTGACCAACGTTTTGATAAAGATATACTCACTTTTGAGAAATTTACTTAAATTTAACGCTTTTTCACCCAATCGCAAAGCATTTTTTTTGGAGGTTGTCATCCCCACACCTCCCACATTCAGAAAATCCCATAATAATCTTGTTAGGATATTCTGTAATTGAACGTCTTGTAGGAACGTGACGATTTTCAGGTCTACGGACACATACCTGCAAGTGTCTTCAACAATTGACATAGATTTGGTATTGCTGGTAAGTCTTCTAATTTTTCAGAATCACCTAACTTAAGGCCCATACACGCTTCCATGATTTGCTATAAAAAGAAAGTGTACCAGCTGATGCCAATGAAGATACCGTATTCTGGACTGTATTCTGGTCTGTCAGTTATAGCTTGCGTTTACCTGAGCACTCATAGTTAAGCACATTAGCCTTTCTCACGTCGACGGATACCCGCCAATAATGACTACTTGTCACTGACAAGTTTGGTATCCCAAAAAGGACGGATAATCTTCGTTACGAGAAAGGCTGATGCAATGGAAAAGTGCAATGCACCGTTAGATTTCACACTATTCAAATAATTGTATATTTGTATATTACAACTTCAGAATAGCTTACGATTGTGACGTCTTAAGAATCAGCTCATATACAGGCTTATCAGGCTCCATACAGCATAATAACATTAATAATATATCTAATGTCGCTGATATCATTGGCCACAAAATAGATCGAAAGAAGAATCCCTTTTGCGGTTTTCCTACAGTTTATGTACAAAAGACCTAAAGTAAGGAAATTCCCTTCCCTACCGAAGATGAGTGAATCAATGACAGTGACAGCGTACATCATTTGATCCAACAGAAAAAAACAAAGCCAGGAGAAGAAAAAGGTCCGTAACAGTAATTGAATATTCAAACGTTTGTTTTGTAGAAGTCATTAGGGATGAAGTTGATATACCCGATTCGTTGTTCTCACCGAAAGCACTTTTGTTCTCACTAGCTACATATATATGAGCCTCGTCAGCCATCTTTCGTTGTCAGACGGCTGAAACGTCTTTCACTTCACTATAGAGATGCATATACGTAAAACAAAAATATTTTTTTGCAAATGACTCGTGAGGTGAAAGAAATATCGTCCCAGATGTTTAGAGTTGCATTTGATTTCGCCATTTCAGCCTGACTGAACCAGCCCCTTTTTGATATAAAGATCGTTGCCCCTGTATATTTATAGGCCTTCCCTTCCATTCCCGTAAAACATTATTAAGGATAATTGGTGTTTATATAATAGTATATCGGTATTTTCAATTAGCCCTAATAACGGAAGTTTACACAATGTCTGTATATATTATACGATTTACAGTTAAAAGCATAAAACTAAGCAAATTAAATGCATATTATTTTATTATTGCTACCTTTTTAACAATATCCTTCCGTAAATTCTGCTCGGCTTCCCGAGATTTCCCATGTTCCAATCGTTGCTTTCGCGATTGGTGTGATTTCTCCCGATCGTAATCGACTGGAATTGTAGTTGTTGTGTTTGTAATCGCTACATCAAAGCTTTTTGGCGCTCTTGCATGCGCCATTTAGTTATTCAACTACTCAATCAATCGGTGAAGTAAATTTTCTGTTATAAATACCGATTAGTGCGTCTCTCGCAGGCCTGTATCTTGTACTAAAGACAGTCGATTTCCGAATCGTTTCAACGAGCGTCATCTATTTAAAGACATGTAAACTATGATTCTCCAAGGAAACCCCTTCCGGGAAATCCCATATTATTATAAAACAGTGACGTAATTAAATATTGCAAATGCAAGTCATGTTTCGAAACCATTAGCTACGTAATTTGTTATTTTGAATAGATTATGTAACCACGATTTGATTTTCAGAAAATTAAACTGCTGTATAAGAAGGGAAGTCAAGGGACCTTATCTTGATATTTGTACAATTTTATTCCGATGAAACTCTTTTATAATTTTGTTAGGTACTCGCAATTTCACATGCAACACCAGCTGTGATTGGCAGCGACGTGTGTGAGCCCTACTCGAAGTGCTGGTTTTCTGAGAAATACTTTAATTGATGCCTCATCAATTCCTACGTATTCCTCGTTGTTTGATACGGTGGCAACGTCACAACTGAAATAGAAATTACAAAATATAGCCGCGCTTGTTAGTGCTTACAAATTTATTCGAGTTTTAGGAGTTCTGCGATCGATATAGGAGCGTTGAAAATTACAATTTAATAATTTTCAGTAGCAATAATTAACTTCTCATCATATTCTTAAAATTTTGCATCCTGAGTATATCTTCAATGTCCAATTTGTGGTAGCTAACATATATTACGTGGGTACGTGTACATGCGAGCTTTCGTTTCGTTGATCTCAATGTTGCAAATTTCACAATGTAAATGCGTTGTCTTTATTCTATATTCTACAAGTTCATATAATACAATAAGCTTCCGATATAAAAAAATCAAGATTCCGGCGGCATTTAGCCCGACATAAGCCAAACAAACAAAGCAACCTATATTATTTTGATTCTTGTTTTGACGTATAATACAAATGCAGTTTATAACTATACGTTGGTTTGAATATACTATATAAATAATCGTTTCAACCGCTATCGTTTAGACGGTTTAGTGGTATTCCGGGGTCTTTAGCCCAAATACTTGCACAGATAATTAATGTTTTGCTTCTGCCCGACAATATTGTCGGAAGTAATAATGACCAGGCGGGAATTAGTTAGCCCGACATAAGCCAATAAGGATGCTAATATAGCTATCCCTACATGGTCATAATGTGTGGTCCGCAATGATCGTTCAAGTAGTTAGAACACCTATAATCGTGAGGAGAATCAGAAGATAGAATAATTCCATTTTACATACGAAATTCAGAGTTTTTGTCTGTGAAACATGGCCGGAATCTCCTGATCCTAGTTCGCAGATTTTGGGAAATATCTAAATTGCATGTCCCATGAATTATGTTTACAACTAGAGGCGCTGCAGATTTTTTTCCCCATAACCAATCGAAAGCACCCCAAGCAATCGAAAGCATCCTTATTACCTTATTACATTTCGGAAAACGGGCCTTAGCTAGCATTCCGAAGACGCAAACATTGTAAATTTTGTAGGTTTTGCAGGAACAATAGGTAAATAGTTTCGTTAAGGTTCCTTGAATGCAAAAAAGTATAAGACTGCATATATTGACTCGTGCGTTTTTTAAAATTGAGGCATTGAAGCATTTTGTATTGACAATAATTCACTATATCGTGTTACTTCTAATATCTTGAATTATCTTCTCACGCCCAGCATGCACTAGTATATAGCAGTAATAGGAGAGTAGAGGATAATACGACTGCATTGAATTAAATAAAACATATAATGATTGTTCAATGTGTTCAAGCTAGGAGAGATTATAAATGAACAATAATATTTCATTAACTCCTAGGAGTGCACTGTGTAAAACCATGTGTCTTGTTGGACAGGACTAATGCTACATACACCTTTGGTAGGAAGTCAGAGGATAAGACAATTTATTAAAATTTTCCAAGTCTTTAGACGCTAGCATCCTTATCATCAATACTCTAACTAACTTCATGCTTAGCATGAAAGAAGATGCATTTTCCCCCAGTTATTCATTCGAAACATGTATCTGCATATTTTGTAAGGCATATTTTTTTCCTTTTACAAATCCGTTTGAGAGATGGATATTAATAAATCTTTGCGGCTGTGACAATAGAGATTGAAAACAATAATTATCTTGGAGTATCTGATACTGAGGAGTTAAAAGCTTGTGTATTTGATTTGTTGTTTTTCCAGCAAGGCAATATTAGATTGTTTTGTGCAATATTGGTATTTTTAACACTGAGAGGAGAACATTTTAACAATAAATCAAGTTAGATGGATTGATCGTAACATGCATGTCACTGTAGCTGATTCAAAATTATTTTGCAAACACCCTGAAATTGCCCAATAAATCGCCTTTTACCTAGCACCTTGAGGAACACCAGTGTTATAGTAATAATAGCGGTGATTTAAGATTTATTTAATTAACGTTAACATTTACACTGACGTATGCGGTTGTATTTTGCGCGATTTACAGTATTATTAGACATTACAGTATAGTTTCTATATATTCATGCAGTTACTAAATAAGGCTGTTGTGAGTATACATACTTTTGTCTTACTAATTGTTTACTCGTCCTAGTATACTAATTAACATGGCCGATAGTTTACATGCATTTGGAAATCAATATATATACAACAAGTGTACGCGCACTACTAGCTGTTGCAACCTATAAGCTATATCATGGTGGATTTTCAACAAATAACTTAAAAAATACATCAAACATCTGGATTGTTGTATGAAACGCACGACTGGCAGTGGGTTAACATTTATACGTTCGTCAAATTCAAACATCATCAGCAAATACTCTAATGTTTGCCCCAAGAACTTTGAAACAGCCCCATTGAGACACTCTAAAGTTTTCTCTTTTCATCTCACACATGGTGGTTGCCAAGGCATTGACGACAGGCTCGTTGTAAAGATTGTTGTAAAACTTCAACATCAATGTCTCTGCGGCATTGTCATCAACTGCCCACAGTGAGGTAATCACTGACTTTGCTCCTGCCATCAGAAAAGCACGCGCAAGTCCCAACACGCCTTCGCTACTGATTTTGCCCTGGGCAGTGTGGCAGGCACTAAGGACAACCATGTTAGCCGATAAGGTCACGTTCGAGAGATCTTCCACTGTAAGGTAGGTTAAACCTGCTTTTTCGCCGCTAAATATTGGGAAAAAATTGCAATTGTTTTAAATACATTGTGCAAATATTTCAAATTGCAAAAGTATGGAAAGTTGGAAATATCAAAAGGACTAACTTGTTATTAATACGTTCGGGTGCAAGTTGCAAGCTTCTTCCGTCGGTTGTGCCATGACACGCGAAATGAATTATGGCTGCTTGCGAAATTCGGCGCAGAACTTCACTGCGGGTGGCGGAATATCTCAATAACGGCGACACTCCAACCTTTTCTGCAATCATCTTCGCTTCTTTTTCAGCAAATGGGAGGTCTTCTGTCGGATTGCCAACGATAAGAGTGTCTTTCATCTGAGTCACCTACATAAAGCACAAAACGGAATTAAAAAATCTATCGAGGCAACTAGAAATTGCCTGCACAGTGCATCAGCTTTGAAATGTCTTTTACTCTTCAAAAGTGAATGTCTTGAAGTAATTTCGAATTCTTTTTTGGTGGCATGAAAACAATCTATGTAAACATATCGTATATATATATGGGCAACATGATGAATCTGATTGATTTTCTAACCTGCGACATCTCTTCTTGCAATGCCATACTGTAGGAATAAGAGTGGAAAGAGAACGCTTCCCGAGGTGCCACCAAACTACATAACGGCTCGCCATTACTAAGACGCAACGTTGAATATGGTATGTTAAACGTTTCTCCTTGTGGAATAATCAGTAGTTGTGGTTTGGGGTCAGTCTCTGTAACCAGGTTTTCCAATTTGTCTTCAATTGGTTCTACAATTAGCTTGCTTAATTCATCAATAAGTCTGGAAAAGTTGGGTGTCTTCGAAGGTCCACGGGTGGCTGGGTAGGTTTGGTTTACGGTGCCTTTACCACTATTAGATGTAGCTCGAGATTGATAACAATTTGTCCCACTTCCCTCTTCAAATTCGATATCATCATCTTCAGATTCGTATTCGATGTCATCGTCATTTAGGACATTGTTTTTAATGCCTATAAAAACGAACTCGAGTTATAATCTCCGACATAAAAAGATGATATCTCGATTATACATACGGTTGTTACATGTGGGTTTAGCGAAATTTTGCTCAAGTGATTTCGACATGAATTAGTATAAGTTCCACTGGAAATTTTTTCCCAAATCTCAACTTATTTTAAAAAAAAATTCAGGATCGAAATGTTGTCACCGGTTTTAATATTGCGAATTGAGTCAGTGAGCTGTATAACCGCTTATTTTCCTTTTCCATACGTAAGGAAAATTTGCTATGTGATTCTGCCGTGTTTTTGATCCAGCTTTTATATAAATATTTCATTGATTTCATTTACACAAACCTCTGATTTCAATTGGATGCGACGACTCTAGGCTGGTCGTTGAAGCATTGCAACTTTCTGAATTGTGAACCACTTCAGTCGCGTAACTATGCAAGCTAATGATGTCTTCCGCCACATTTTTTGTAGGCTGCTGATTCTGTGCTTCATCCTTTATACCTCTACCAAACACAATGCCTAAATATTCAAGAGGTTTTTCCCATTCATGAAGCTTTTTTCCGAAAGAAGTGATTTCGCCATTTGGTGAAATGAACCACATTTGCATTTCTTGGACAACGTCCAGTTTGGATAGAAAAAGTATCGCTTGCTTGTTTGTTTTCGCTAACTCCAAAAGTGCCGTCGCCGTGTTAAGTTGCTTCGACTGGTCTTCCTTTATTACCTTTTGGATACACAAAATAAATAAATAGAAATAAATAGATAAATGAATGAATAAATAAATAAATAAATGAATAAATGAATGCTTAATGAATCAATGGAATAAAAGATTGAATGAATCAGT